AAGACATTATAAAATCTCATCAAAATTTATACTAGGGGCCAAAAAGATGGTTCTGTGGTTAAAGGAACTTGTTATTCTTGCAGAGGACCCCGGTTTGATTCCCAGACCTCACATGGCAGATCAGAACTGTCTAAAACTCGAGTTACAGGAGATGTGACACCTTCTTGTGAACTCCATGGCCATCAGGCAAGCATATGATGCACAGGCATACATGAGAGCAAAACACACACACATAAAATAAAATTAATAAATCTAAAAAGCCCGGATCTTATATTAGTCAATGCAGTGGCACCTGTAAACTACCATCACATTGGGATGAATTGAGATTTAGAAAGGTTAAGGTAAAGGGCTTGTTCAAGGTCACATAACTGATACACAATGATCAAACATACTCCATGAAAACAAACCATCTGTGCTGTCTTAAGCAGAGTATCTTATAGAGGATAAACCACTATCAGAAGTTCTGTGCAGAAGTTGTAGCTTTCTTACAAACCATCAGTTTGGTAATTAGTGACCCTAGCACACTGTAGGGTCTGTGAAAGGGTGTTCACAAACTGAACTGATTCTTTAACAAGCTACAATGGAAACCTGGACATGCAAATTTGTGGGGGCCTGAGGTGGATGAAGGCAGGGCTAAGAAAGATGAGGTGGCATACACCTGCAATCTTAGTGCTTGAGAAGTAGAAGTAAGAGGACCAGGAGTGTAAGGCCAGCCTGCGCCACATGAAGCCATTGTCTTTGTGTCTTTCTTTGTTGTTTGCCTGCATGTATAACTGTGCACCATGCCCATACAGTGTCCATGGAAGCCAGAAGACGGCACTGGATCCTTTGGGACTGGAGTTATAGATGACTGTGAGCCATCATGTGAGTACTGAGAAACTCAGGTCCTTTAGAAAAGCAGTCACTGCTCTTAACTACTGATTTAGCCATCTCCCCAGCTGCATGCAGGATGAAGAAAAGGAATAGATTAAATTGATGTAAGAAAAAGGAATGACAAGGTATAGGCCGAAAGAATGTGGAGGCAAGAAAGAAAAGAAATCAAGACATGGTTTTTAAAGAGTGCTTCATGCTATTATTGCTCATGTGTGGTTAATTTTATTATTTAAGATTAAGTTTATTTACAGCCAGTCTGTTGATTTCTAAATTAGACTTTGTAGATATAAAGTGTCACATACTTTTTAAGCAAATAAAAAAGCATTTACAATAGCTATTATATGGAAGACCAGGACAATTAGTACACCAGATCACCTACACCTACCCAGCTTTTCCAAGGAACAAAATAGTCAATGTTTATAGAGGTATCCAAAGATTCCAGTAGTAACAATAACTTTTGGCAAGGCATCAATTATATTTCAATGTCAAGCATATGTAGCTTGGTAATCCTAAAGAAGTCTTTCAAACTTAAAATTTCAATGTAAAAGAAACTCCTAAAAATCAAATTAATGACAACATATAGGACATTGCATTTATACTAAACTTCCTTAGAAAAAGGAAATATATGCATATAGGTGTGTGTGTGTGTGTGTGTGTGTGTGTGTGGAGAGATAGAGAGAGAGAGACAGAGAGAGAGAGAAAGAACACACTTGTGAGAGGGATATGATTTAGCTTACTGAAGTTTCATTGTACCATATTTTTTCACATCCATGCCATCAGAGGCATCTTCATGTAAGAGGGAAGATGTTCAGATAACTGATCCAAAGCTAACGACACTCTGCCTAGATTATGTCCTGGCTCACAGTGTGGTTTCTGAAATGCAAATTATATGGTTTGTTTGTCAGTTTATATTATTAATGTTTATAAGAAATATTTTCTACAGCATGTTTTCCAAAAGATTTAAAATCAAATTAGTAATTTAATTAGTATGAAATTATCATAAGAACTACTAAATGCATCCATTGGTCCAGGATCTGCAGAGACACACATATATTTATTACTTGGAACAAGAAACTATTCAAATTCAGTTCCAAGAGAAATAGAGGTTACTAATAAACTGGGCCCCTGTCCAGTCTGGATTGCTAAATCAAGCTACTGTAGAGAAGAGTCTGGCTTCCTTACACACTACATCTTCACCAGAATATGTATTACAATGCTTGAATTTTCTTGTTTGTTATTAATGTTTCAAGCTTAGGAAACAATTTAAATAGTAAATGAGAGAAATATCATAGTTATCACTTGGAAGGAAAACTCTGGCCATTACAATAGGCTAATAGGTTTTCTAGGGACAAGAGCTGGCTTGGTTTTACCTCGTGTGGCAACAATGTTCATGGCTATGAACCCATATGGTAGACATTTACATGTTCATGTCCATAAAAACATATAGCAACCCATATACAAAATCCATACAACAGATGGTTTATATGCTTATGGCCCTAAATGTACAGAGCAGACTGTTTACAGCAGCTCAGGTACAGAACTGACTCTTAAGGACCACATCACACACCTGCAGAGCTCTTACTATTTAATTCTGAAGCACAGATGGATCACTACACCAAACTTTACCAAGGGAAGCTGCATGAAACATCATTTTCCAAAACTATTTTTAGTAGCAGCAGGTGACTCAAGTAGTCTCAATTTAGAGCACTATTGGGGAGCTGCAATCACATTAAGTCACTACTGAAGGCCTAAGAAAAAGAAAACAGCTTTAAAAAATATGGTTTTTTTTTTTCCTAGTTTATTTGAACACGGAACCCTTTTGGCATTTTTACTGGAATTTATCTTTTATAGAAAACCCCTTATCTCATATGAAGAAACCCAAGTCCAGATAGGTTAGGTGACAGCTACAGTGTTATTTGATTAATTGGTAAATAACAGCTCTCACTTTTCAAGAGACTCCAGGAAGTTTTTTAGTACTGTGTTGTCTCTTTCCTGTAACACATAATTAAATAGTCCAAAATTCTTGAGTTAGAGATGAAAGATGTCCTAAAAGAAATGAAGCAGCTGCCTCATTTGGACACATAAACACATGTCTACAGTGGAAGCAGCTAGCCAGCTCTTAATTTCAATACTACCATCCTGCCCATAGCACTACTCCATTTTCTGCAAAACCAACACTTTTGTCTCTTTTGTAAGAAGTCATGGACAAAGAGGGAATTTAGCTATTAAGAATCCATTAAAATGTTTACTAAACCACTTTTATGTCAATAGGTATTTCAATTCAATTAAGTATGATTACTTTTACTTACAAATGTCATCCACTGTGACAGGGAATCAGTGTTTCAAGCTGTTGAACAGGTCATCATCCCTGTCTTGTTGGATGACACCTGTAAATAAAATAAATCTATTTTTGAGTGAGAAGTCTAAGTCAACTCTATTTTAGATGCATGCAGTTTAAGCAAAGAATAATTTTTAATTGGTCCTAATGATGTACTATTGTAGAGAGATACTTCCCAATGCTAACTATTTTCTATAATGTTCACTGGCCCCTTAACACAATAGAGTCCTGGGAATTGTCAGAACACAATCAGAATAGTGGGAATCTTGTAGATGGTATTTATTTCAGTCTCCTGAGTCTGTGATTATCATTTCTACTTTATACTAGAGACAAGCTAGGTCCTGTCAAGTTAAATAACGAGACTAATTCTAAATAAAATATATTAAGTGTCATTATTTCACATACCTAGGATTGAAAAGTATGTGTGTATGTGTACACACACACACACACACACACACACACACACACACACACACACACACACACGCACCAAGATAACCATTTGGATGAAAGACTTAAGTTATTCCAAGAATGTAAATTTACATCTATGTAAACTGCTGCAATGTCATTATTAGATATGGAAAGTGCAGTTGTTCCTGGAAATATCACAGGTGGAAAATAAGAAAAAGTGGAAAAATGAGAATGAGACACAAAAGAACACTATTCAATATAGCACACATTTATGATTTTAAATTTTGGCAACTTCCAAACAAGATTTGCATCTCATAGCAAACATAAATATACAAAAGACCATATTTAAAGCAAAATTTTAAGAGCCAATGTTGGTTTCTCTGTAGTTATTGAACACCAATTGAGCAAAGATCTGCCAGAAACCAAAATTTGGGCTGGTCAAGGAACACTAACTTTCCATCCCCTGCCCATCCACAAACAAACCGATCTTACACCGCTTTGTCTGAGGCCATAGACAGAGAGCACACTGCAGTTCACCACCAGCCAAGCACTGTTGAGTGCTTTACACACACTATCCCACTCACCCCACGACTTGGCTCTTGTTACAAATCTACAAGTAAGGCAAGACACAGAGTGACCATCTCACAGAAGCCAGGCTCTAAACTTATCTGCACACCCTTATCCCTCAGAGACTCCCCCAGATGCCAAATGAAGTAACATGCTGCAACCTAGACAGAGAATGGTCCTTTAACTCAGTCTCACTAACAACAGGACATTCTCTCTTTACAACAAAAGGGTGAGGAAGAATGGCAACAAGAATAAACAATCCCAACACCAAAGGATTAAAACTTTTCATGTAATTCTGAAATACGACCAGAAAATGACAACTGAAAATTTAAACTGTATTTTATAATTAAAGTAAAGTAAATCCTTCTTAATACTATTGGATAAATCCCACTCAATGCCAACTGATTCTCATAACAGGGTAGTAGTTATCAATAGACAGAATTAAAGCATGTATATTAAAATAAATAACATTGTTAAAAACAGAACTATTTCTAAATTATATAAACTACCTTAAAAGAAAATAAAAGTTCTGATGTGACCCCTCACTTCTGACAAAAACCCCTTAACTTTTTGTTACCGGGGCATTTTCTAACATCCTTTTAAAGATGAATATTTTTTTAAGGGACACAATCAGGAGCAAAAATATACCTGGCATATTTTAATCAAACAAGTAAGGGGTATGAAAAGCTCATCCCCACAAACACAGACATCATTTCCTTCTGAAAGCACTGTGAGAACCAGACTTTCAGGCAGAGGGGCACTCTGCCAAGGACTCCCCGCCCCCACAGACAAAGACAGTGTGGTAGCTTACCCTTTTCTCTGACACCCCATCCTGGCCTGTAGCCTCTTTCTCATCATGTGTTTCTTTCAGGACTGCCATGTGCTGTTTGTATGCTGGCTCTCTGATTAGGGTTGTGTATCCTATGTGCTCATAAATTGGGTTTATCGTCATCTTGGCAATGTATTCTGCTGCCTTGGTTTCAATATAGAGAGTAATCAAGCCATCAGTCACCAGATCGTGGATGGACTCAAAGCGTTTCTCCCCAACAAAGTGCTTTCCATCGTAGTACAGTCTGAAGTTTCTGGTTTGACTTCCAAATCTGCCTCAATGAAATGGGAGAGATGCTTTTAAGAAAAGTGAACAAGTGAATTCTTCTGAATAAGTAACAAATGCACAAATACCCCCAAGCTGAAATACCCATTGCTTTTGCTTGTATATTATCTGTTTAGATCAGCTGTGCTAATGTCTATCAGTTACTTGGAATATAGTAAATTCAACTTCTAAACATAAAGAATGAACTTGAAATAACTAGGGTTATTAGCACGGTGATCCTAGAAAGAACATTTTTTTTATTGTTTTTTTCAAGTATAAAGAACATTTTTATTTATGTAGCTTTTAAAGCCAATTCATTACACTTGTAATAAAGTGGAGGAAATAAATTTTACAACCTTAGAAGGCACATTCAATATGCAATTGACCAACTATAATATACAGAGTTTCAGGTTGAATAATGAAAATATCCAATGTGCTTAAAGGCCAGTATTCATGTCTTTCAACAGGCAAGTCCCATTTACCATTCACTAAAGTGGGATGCCAGCAATAATTTACAATTGTGCTGCCTCCAGAACTAGGCTAAGCAGTAGACAGCATAGAAACAAACTTGGGCATTTCTGGCCAGAGGTCAAGGACTTGTTCCTCCCTTTTAACCTGTCCTGCATCTGCTGGATAGACAAGAAACACTTGCAAAATATAGGGCATAAAAGTCATATACCATCAGACACCAGAAATCTGTTGTCTGTTTTGATGATATGTTTTAATAAATGGAGAAGCATGGTTTCCCATCATAGTAATTTTGGCATTTTACTTCCTACAGGGAACCTCAGAATTGGATCCAAGTTGGCATGACTGACACCAGTGTCCTTACCAGGAGGTACAGGCAATTCAACAGAAGACAATGCCAAAGTGGGAAGAGGTGCAGATTTCAGAGTAAACACCAATAAAACTAAGCAAATCCAGAAAGGATCTTCTTCATTAGGTTATAAACACACACACACACACACACACACACACACACACACACACACACCAGAAATGAATTTTAAAACTGAAGTATTATTTTGCTTTGACAAGGTACCACATGATATAATACTGGTACATAGTATTTCAAATGGGTAGGAACTAGATATTTTATTCTATTTTGTGACAGGGTCTCACTGTATAGTTACAGCTGGCCTGGAACTTTTATTGGCCTGGAACTTTTACTGGCCTTGAACTCAGAGAGATCTGTTTGTCCCTGCTTCCTGAATGCGAGATTAAAGGCATGCAGCAACAAATCTTGCTAGGAATTAGAAACTTAAATAATGGGTCCAGATTGTTTTGTTTGTTTTTTGTAATTTAGACTTTAATAATACTTAATCCAGAATCCAACATAATATCAGTGTTGACCTTTTAACATATAATTATCCACCTTTTGTTCCTTTAAAAGCAATCAAGTTTTTACTTACACTTAAGTAAATGAGTCATATAATTAGACTTCCTTCTAAACTTAGACATTTCTCCCAAGCAATTTTTTATTCTGTAAGTCTCAAAAGCTAGAAAGATAAAATGTCTATGCCAAATTAAATATTAAAGTTTTTCTAATATACTTCTATGATTTCCTTTTTGTAATGCATATTATCTACTACTTTACACACACACACACACACACACAGAGAGAGAGAGAGAGAGAGAGAGAGAGAGAGAGAGAGAGAGAGAGAGAGAGAAAGGAGAGAGAGAGAGTGTGTGTGTGTGTGGGGGCAGCAGTGTCAGTCACCTGTCATACTAGTGTCATCTGAAGTCTGAGAGCTGAGGGTGAGGGAAGGTAGGTAGAAGAACTGGTCCCAAAAGGGTTAGGCATGGTTTGGATAGAAGAGAGCAGTCTAGGCTTGGACTTTTGCTTTACTCTTTAACTTCAAGAGGTCCCTTCCATGATCCCAGCTCCTTGCCAGCCTGCCAGTCTTGAGGGAGCTATGAGGTTACTGAATGTGCACATGGCCATAAGGTACTTGATTAAACTTAGCCTCAAAGGACATGGAAGCAAATGTCCAGACTGGAAATTTGATTATTTTTTTCCTTTAAAAATAACTTCACTTTTACTAAAAGGACAGTAGGTTTTCCTTGTCTATCAAAACCAACTCTCTTTTACTTTGGAAGTTCCACAAGGAATAGCCTGACAGTGTGGACTATCAGACACTGCTCCACTACTTTGACTTGTTTTGTGCTTTGTTGTATCTGTGGAGATAGATCAAGCAGAATATCCTTGATAATGGAGGGGAATGCCTGTAAGAAAAAAAAAAAGAGGAAGACACCAGATTTAAGCACCAGAGAGACCCTTTATTGTAACAGTGCTCTGCTGGTATAATGTCCTTTATTCAACAAATACTCAAGACACTCTCAGCATTAGGAAGTTTATGATGTCCTGTGTTCACATAGCAACCACATGGGAAATGAAAATCATAAAAACAGACTGAAGAAAAATATGAAATGCCCAATTTCAAAAACCTCAAGCTAAGACTGCTTAAACACCTTTTTAACATCTATTTATATGTGTGAATGTATACACATGCCTGCCCAAGCACACAGAGCTCAAAGAACAATTTCTAGGAATTGGTTCTTTCCTTATACCATTTTGGGTTAAGGACTGAACTTAAAACATCAGGCTTGGTAGCAAGCACCTTTACCAGTTGAGTCATTTGTGCTCTGCTTCCCTCCATTTCTTTAGACAATTCACTTGCCCTGTTTTCTGAAATATCCATCCGCCTCTGCCTGGACTAAGGCTGAGTGAACACGCCTAGACTGGAGCAGTCCTACTCTACAGACACAGTTGACTAGAATGGAAATCCATGCTCTCCAAAGTGGTACTGAAGTTAGCAAGCAGACAAGAGTGAGGTCAATCTGCTCTGCGCTGTGATTGCCGTACAGAATGCTCTCCTGTGGCTCTAGCTACGTTTTCCTTTTTAAAGAACTCTGTAAATACTGTGGCCAGTTGCATTCAGATGCATTTCAAAATTTGTAATTCTACCATTTAGCTTTAAAAGTAAGAACATAACACTCCTTTCCAGATTTTTTTCCTTGTGAGTGAATCATATTTCTAAAAAATCCAGTCTAGATACATATAAAATGATGAAAATATATGTAAAATGTTACTTTCTGTAAAACCAAAAATTTATTTTGATTTGAGGCCAAAGTTATTTTTAAGTGTCTCTTCAAAGGACTAAAGGCTAAGAGATGTCTCCTATTTACAAACAGAAAATGAAGCATACATAAGACTATGTCTAATAATACTGAGGCATCAGAGGAGTTTCTAGCAACAAATATACAAAACTTTTCATCATAAACACAATTTGTATTATTTACCAGAGCCAAAGCATCCAATTAAATGGTGAAACACAAAGAAACACCTCAGAATCACACACAGTCATAAACAAGCCTTCAGGAGACATATGGGAACAGAAGTAAGTGATGAAACATTCCATGATTTAAGTTCCACTGAGGAACTTTAAACTACCCCTTGAAAACATTAGGCTATGACTTTTGCCTATATTGCTACATGATTCTGATGATAAAATGGGGGAGATTACTAAAGTGTGTAAACTTATGAGTATATTCTCCTCCCATCTGCTTAATTAAATGTCCAAAGATAACACCAGACAGCTCTGGAAGGTGGATTAGGTGACAACCCACACAAGATGCAGATTAAATACTCACTGAACTCCTCACTCTGCCCCTAGCAGACCTAAGTTCTGCTCCCTAGAGAGGAAGAACCAGAGCACAGGCAGAGCATAAAGTAGAGGTGCCACCCTGAACACAAGGACACTGAGACCACTTTACCAGGTCCTTAGGAAGAGCCTTTCCTCATAGGAGACCTGAAGATTTCTCTAGGGGATCTCATCAACTCTACAACAAAGAGCATCATCCTGAACTGTCAGGCTCCCCTGAGCTCTCAGAACTACATCTGAGCCTAAGTACCAAATACACTTAAATATGGTAATCAGCCGGCAACCACTCAGTATCTGAGAAAAGCCTTCACAAAAGACAAACACTGAGATAAACAGACAGAATCAGGTCAGGTTGAAGAAACAAATCATTCACAGAGAAAAAAATATCTATTTTTAAAGTATTTACATGTTAAACTATAGGATCGCTCTTATTTCCATTCTTAAATAGAAGTTGGCCACACATACACTTTCTCTCTCTCTCTCTCTCTCTCTCTCTCCCCCCCACAAACACACACACACACACACACACACACACACACACACACACACACACACACACACACACACCAGAATGCCACAGAGAAGACACAAAGTAAACAGTCAAGGTAGAAATCAAAGGAACAACCCAAGAAAATAATCACAAAGGACAGAAATTTACACAATTTACAAAAATGGGTCCATACTGTATGGGTAAATGTAACAAGGTACTCAAAACAGAGCAGTAATTGTAAATGAAGCCCTCAGATTGGCAAAATTTAATGTCTGCCATTACTAAGCACTAGCAAGGACACAGAGCTGCTACTGAGTCAGTGGCTGTACACTGTTTAACAGAGAGATTTATTCGGTAAGGCTGAAAACAGGCACACATATACACCCTAGGACACATATACCCATCCAGAAAGAATATAGTACCTAGAAATATATGTGTATTGTATTTCACATAAAACTTAGGCTATTTTATAAATAAACATGTAATGTTTATATTTCATAAATAAATATATAAATAAATATAACATATATGTGATTACTGTTGCTGTAGGAAAAAATATCTAATCTATAGGTAGGTATACATACAGTTTTTTTGAGATGGGGTCTTTCTACGATATAGCTCTGGCTATCCTGAGCTAGCTATGTTGACCAGGCTTGCCTTGAACTCATAGAGCTCCACCTGCTGTCTCCTGAGTTCTGGAATTAAAGGCATGCATCACTACAAGCAGCCACCATAGGCTTTTTTTTTTGGGGGGGGGGGAGTTTCAAGACAGGGTTTCTCTATGTGTAGTCTTGGCTATCCTTGAACTCACTCTGTAGACCAGGCTGGCCTTGAACTCACATAGATCCTCCT